GCTTTCTACATTGTACCATATCGCCCTTGCCGACTGGGTGTAGATAACTTTGTTACATTTTAGGTAGCATGTTTTCTTTGGACAATGCGATTTGTCTTTGACTTGCGCGATTTCTTGGAAGATGACAAACATTAACTATTTACTATTGACGGTGTGCGATTTGGCGTGGTAGTAAGACGAATATTATTATCAGTGTTACTAAGAATGTTAACAATGGATCTGATATTCCAATGCCAATTAAATAAACGCTTAGCTGTTTCGTAACTTGGTGGTCTTTCAGTAAGTTTTTGGCCTAGTTGTTAAACGGGTTACCAATAAATTGACATGCTGTTTTAATAGAGTTCCGATAGGCACTGGACAGTGTCTGCTTCATTTTTAACATCATATCAGCAACAAATATTCTCTTATTAAAACTTGAGAGTTCATCATAGAGTTCACTTTGTTCAGTTACTTGCCCCAGCTGGCAAACGTAACACAGTGTAATTATCATTTGTGTTCATTTGTTTTGACATAATGATTTGCAATGCAAATAGGAAAACTAGCACACTGTCATAGACGCTTCAGATTATCGCACCCGTCCAGACCATTTGTGCATGGGCACAATCATGCCAACTGATATTTTGTCAGCTTGCTGAAGAATTCTTCCTTTTGTGACTCTGCAAACTATTCCGAAAGGTTCATGCACTCGTGCAGCATCAGCTCTCGTCTCTCTCTGAAGCTCATACTGAGCTGTAATCCTGTGGTCTCAGGTTGGTTTTCTTTTACCAACTTGTCAAGAGGAGCCAATAGAAACTGGACACTGTCGAACAACTTCTGCTGCCCAAGGGAGAAGGAGATATACTTCTCAGGGGCCATCAAGAGGTAAGAGTAATATACTCTCAGGTTGTGGAAGATGACTGAACTGTCTGTAGGTATTAGATTCAACCTCAGCTTAACATTACATACACTGCAGGCAGCACAATTGTTTAGGAAATATACGACTGTGCAACGCCCACTATATTTGAATAACAAGCTGTAACAATGTTCCACGAGGATTAACAACACAGCTGTTAATACTGTTTTTTATTCTGGTTTTAGTGTGGAAATATAGGTTGCAGTTAGAAGTTGCTCTTGAGTAATCGAACCATAGTTCCTTTGATCAAAGGTGAATGCAATGTAAGTGTACAATAGTGAAGTATACTTCACTTGACTTTACAGTATGGATACATTTACTACAACATTTAGTTATTAATACAGG